TAATACAAAATACCCCCCCCCCTCCTCGACAAACAGCACCAGCGCTTTCCCCGCAGGCACGAAAAACACGTTTTCTTCAGGCAGGAACCGATCCGAGCTTTGAACCCCAGACCACGCTTGTAGCGCCACTTGCCACTATCCACTTGCCACTACACTATCTACGCTAACCAAAATTTTAGGATTATTGTATTGTAATATTATATTCGTAGCTTCTGACCATAATAACGTTGAATGACAAGAGATTACATAGTTCAGAAGAACGACTTTTCAAAGCTTGTTCCAAGTTTTTTTTTCCACGAACTTATTACGTAAGTGGTTTTCTTTCAGCGTGATCACCTGTCAAAACTCCGACACTATGTGATATGCTAAATCTTTTCTTCTGCCCACTTCAACAGATAGTTGAATGTTTAGAAGACGTGTGAATTCCCAAGCGTTTACTCCAAAAAACCAACATAGACAAAAGTCTCAAAAGTTGCTCAAAGCTGTTTCCCGCTTGTCGTTTAAAATTTACGGTCGTGCTTTTCCGAAAGTTAAAAAAAGACGAGATAAATAATTTTGCTAACTACCGGGTTCTTTGTCTCTTTCGTTTTTGAAACGGTCTTTTGGAATTACTTAGTGTCCACTCAGGTACCACGATGCTAAATGTTTCCCTGCACTACCGTCCGATATGTTTCGCCCTCTTATAAATTTGAAGATGGATTGAACTTTGAGTTACGATTTAGCGGACTGTGCGCTTATTAGCCTCTACGAAATGTCAAGGACATTTCAAAATGACCCAGTAATGAGAAGGCTATACACCGAAGATTCCATCGATAATGCCCGTACCCACCGATAGAATCTGCGGCACAGTTTGCTAGCCGTATTGATCTGAAAGTCTTATTTCGGAATGTAAAATACTGTCTTACTGGGTTTCGCACATCCTCAGGTTCGCAATCTGACCTGAGCACAAAAAGGAGATAGTCAGTGAGATCTTGTGAACCTCATAAGAGTTTTTGAGGGACTGGTCTCAAGCAGACGTCGGAACGTTAAGCACCAGTCCGGCAGTCCACAGGCGATGAGCTACCTTCGGATCCTTCGAGCTCTAGAAGACAAACTGAACCCTTCCCTCCGTGGATACTGGTTATTGCACTATGGGAGGCGAAAGGATCCTCAGCTACAGTAGCGTGCCATTTTTCTCCGCCAAGTACACGGCAAGGAGCTGAGGATAGCGGTGCCCGAGTGCTGTCTCTATACTCCGCTTGCGTTATCAATGTGTGGCACTTGCGTCAACACCAAGGCTCAGCGAAACAGTTACTAAGCGGCAGGGGAAAACCAGGAGTTAGAGAGTAAGACAAATGGTGTGTTAGGGTAGGTCCAGGCGTGTGGCTGGCCATGCGGCAGCGCGGGCAGATTACGCAGACGGCACCCCTTGTACAACCGCTGCCGACGCCGCCCGCGCTGCCACACGTCCGACCACACGACAAACCATAGCCAAACGGGCTACTTGTCTGTGCAGTCTCACTTCTGTTGTTCTCCACCTTTGGCTACGTGTTCGCTGCGTGATTTATTTATTAGTATCGTATTATTTAGTATCGTATCGGCGCCTGCATGAGGGCGAAGTAGGCAACGGCAGCCGGATTTCATAACCCCGTGCAACTTTGCATGGACAAAATGATATGCTGCTTCAGGTGCGGGTCCATACACATCGCACATGGCAAGGACTAAAGTGAGTGTAGAGCCTGTATTCAAGCTAGGTAATAGTAATCTTATCTAGTAACCTATTAGCAAAAAAAGAAAGCACGATTGTTCCTTATATCTGTGGTGGCTGCAGCGCTTCGTGTCAAAGAGAACATTGATTACTAGTCTACAATGTGATAGCACGTACTTTTACCGACTGTGGATGGGTGTGGTGTATGTGAGCCGACAGCAGCTGACGATGATGCGGTCGATGTCTCCTCCGGGAGATGAGTAGTAGCAGTGGAGGTTTTTGGTGGTGGAGTCTCTTCGTTTTGAACGACGTTCTGTGTTCGATCCTCTTGGTGAGCGACTTCCACGGCCTCCGTTGTTGTAGCAGTTGTCGGAGCCAATTCTTTCTCAAAATGTTTGGGAGAACCTGAAAATAATGTTCGTATACTTTGGTTAAATGACACATTTACCGTGATGTGCAGTGCACTGCAGTCAAAATGTGGTCAAAGTTAGTCGTATGAATTCAACAAGCATGCGGTTAGGGGGCGTGCAGATGATGGCAAGCCAAGGCCTAGCTCCGTGCTGTAAAAGGTACTTACTGCAACGGAAGCATTGTATTTTGACATCTTCCTGCTTAAGATATCGTATGGTTGCGTCAGCGTTTGAGCAGCTGTCTTTGAAATCCGCTCCTAGCAGGCACTCGCCTCTTCGAGGTGAGTATACCGCAGCAGCACAACGTCCTCGGAAGCAGATTCGCGCACAGTCGTTCACACTGTGACGTGAACCAATTTAAACACATAAGAAGACAACGAATTTGCTAGTTGTTGCAAAACTAATGTTAAATAATTAAACCCAAGTGGGAATATTAGGTTGTCCGGAAATCAATGCTTGCTTTGCCGCGAGGTTTTTTGTACTGGTTTAAAAACGAATACCTTTAAAAAGCACATTTCACGTGTTATGTGGCAGGAGTTGGTGTAGTGACAAGTGGCGCGCTCACCCTATCATACGGCCTAGCCACACCCCTAGCTATACAAAGACGCTCTACTTGTTTGCGCCCTTCTCACATATGGTTGTTCTACGTCGTTGATTTCGTTTTCCATTGCGGGACGTCGACAGAAGTGCCGCGCCTTGAAGATAGCGCTCGCGAAGTATGGAGATACTCGCGTACCACTACTCAGCCCGTTCTCATGCTCTTTTGAGCGGAGAAAGCGGCAGCTACTTCAGCTTCTGACCCGTTCAGCTTTAGTGATGCGCGGGTGCTCTCTTCATAAGCCGCGCTATCGTACGGGCAGCCATGTGCCTAGCTATAGGAAAACGCTCTAGTCGTCTCCGCCCTCTCACATATGGTTGTTCTTAGCCGCTGATTTTGTATTTCGTTGCGGGATATTGGCGTCGACAGAACTGCCGCGCCTTAGCGCTGGCGAAGTATGGAGATACTCGCGTGCCACTACTCAGCCCGTTCTCATGCTCTTTTGAGCGGAGAAAGCGGCAGCTACTTCAGCTGCTGACCCATTCAGTTCTAGGGATGCGCGGGGCTCCCTTCATACTCCAGCCGCGCTAGCGCTGCCGCGCTATCGAAGTTTGTAGACGCATACCTCTACCCTACAGCCGTTCTCATGTTCAGAAATGGAACGGATTGACCGCGTCAGGCTGAAGTTATAGAACCACTAGTTACTCTTATAAAAATGTGTAGATTCTTGAGGCTCTTATCGTAGTCAATAAAAGTCACAGATAACATATAAAGCCTTTTGAAGGCAGGTGTGGAACCTGCGTTTATTTCCGGACAAGCTAATAAAAAAATCAACACATTTTTATAAGAGTAACTAGTGGTTCTATAACTTCAGCTTGAAATTCCGGTTGAATCGGACGGTTGACTAAGATAGCCTC